TGAATGAAGTAAAAAACAAGGAGAGTTAGTCAATAAATAGTTCTAAAAAGCAAGTATATATGTAAATATATATATATATATATATATATATATATATATATATAGTTTATATATATATATATATATATATATATATATATATATATTATATATATATATATATATATATATATATATATATATATAGGTGCTGTGCTTAAGAGTGCGTATTTTTGTTTGTGGTCGTCCCCAAAATCCTTACAACTTTTTGGTTTATCAAACAGCTTTTGGCAAATGAACATCTTTCTAAGAAAATAAACAGCTAACTTGGAAACAAAAACAACAGCTCCAGTTTCTTCCATTATCTTTTTTATCGTCGTCCCTCCTTTTCCAATTAAGCGTCCTACCAACTGATTATGAGCACGCAATTTCATCTCATAATCTTTACTACAAAGTTAGACTATTTTACTTGAGCAGTTCCAACAGCATAGAAAGGTAAAACGTTGGCAAGCAGTAAAAGCAAACCAAAACAGCACAGACCTTCTAACCGAAAAACTAGTCGGAAAAACTTATTACCCTTTCAGTGACCCGTCTTTTTCCATTTCCCGCCTAACGACTTCTAAGATTTTCGTACACGCACGACTACAACTCTCCGGTTGCCCCAAAATAGAAATTACCTAAAAAAGATTAGAACAAAGATCTCTCTACGACTTCTTGAGATTAACAGTATAAATGACCGAAGAAGAAAAGCAAACAAATTGGACCTTATAATTTTGAAAAAAAAAAAGTTTAGAAAAGTACTGAGAATTGCACCAAGTATACAATTTAGTACATGAGCTACCTTTTCTGCATTACCAAGTGGATCTCGCACGGCTTTCTGAATATCAACTACACATTTCGCCTTTGAGTCTTTTGTAATTTCGCGGATACTTGAACCACCCTGACCAATAATGGCTCCAACATATTTCGCATCTACCACCATTCGCAGTGGCAACTCCTGAACTTTTACATCAAAAAATTTAGTAACAATGCCGCACTCTCTACAAAGCCTCTTTAAGTGTTAACAATAAAATAGAAAAAGAAATACAGCTAAACTCCTATAAAAAGTAAGAGAATTCAACAAAAACGAACGGTTGAAGGTGGGCGACTATGAGTAAAAGAATTGAAAGTGTGCATTGGGGCTGCAGAGATAGTGTGAGAAGTTTCGCTAGCAGATGAAAAACGTTGATGTGAAGGAATGCCAGACATAGTACCTCCTTGTGACAACATCGTGTTACCAACAGCGGAACCTACAGCATTAGTGACCCGCCGTTGAGGTAACTGGTTATTCGTTGGAGCTACAAGACTTATAATTAGAAAACTGTTGAAAACTTGCAACGTACGCCGACATACTGTGAGCTGAACGGTAATGATAACAATAACTTTAAAAGAAAAAAGTACTTTAAAAAATTCAAAACAGTGAGCTAATCAAACACAGCGTCACATAATTCGCGAGTTATGCAGACAATGTTTTAAAGCCCATCAGTGATTACGCTATTCAGAAAACCACAGTTCCTGACGACGTCGACGGCGAAAAGATGCCACTAAGAAGTAGTACACAAATTCATTACGAACAATGCGCAAGAATTTATAGCTGGCACCAAGCCAAGCATGATGAAGACTGATCAAGTTTCAAATGTAACACCCCTCCCCCCTCCCCCCCACTAGCATGCCATTAATTCCATTTCTCTTGTTCACCTTGAAGTATTTTTAGTTATTCCTTCCAGGTGTCACTCAAATTTTCATACGCATAAACCATTAAAGCACGAAATATCGACGTCTGGCTCATCGTAAAGCTAATAACAACGAAAGCCTCTTTGTTCGCAAAAATTATACTGGGTCAAAAGCAAACCAAAAAAAAAAAATTAAACTAAAAAAATCCTGTCTTTCTGCCACACTTCAAAGAAACGAACCTGTGTACGAAATGCAAAAATGTATTACAGACCACAAAAAGAATTCAGGAGAATTCTTTTTGCCACATCTCAGTACATTTATAAAGTAAAGAAAGAGTCTAAACAAAAAAATAACACTAACAGACAAAGCAGCTGAGAAATTACGACAAAAAATTACTTTGGGCTGATAAACCTTGATTTGGGGTCATCTGGCGAGTCGTTGTATAACGATTAGTTGATTGTTGATAGTTCATTGGTTGAGGCTGAGGAGCAGCCTGGTAATTGGCTAAAGATGACAAGAATAAAAATTAAGCAGTTATTTCATCCCTTAGAAAAAACTACATTAACTGGAATAACATTTACAACAGCTTGCTGTAAATTACAAAATCCTTATTTATAGAAAAATAAATGAAAAAATCTATCTTCTTAAAAACTATCAAAAGCAACACGATCTTCCTGAGAAAAAAAAAAAAAAGTTAGCACTAAAAAAAACGACCAATTAAAAAAAATACAGCCCATAATAAATGGAAAGATAAAAGTTCTAAAGCTTTCGTGCTGCTTACACAAAAAGGTTCTGAAAAAACTCGAAGTACCACAATTTAACACCGCTCAACGTAATGTAGCGTACCTGCCGGTAACCAGCAATTAAACAGAACTGCAGTAAATACTTATTAATACTTGTCCACAAAGCTTAAAACTGAACAATAAGTACTCCTGAATTTTTGCTTAAAAGATGCCCTAAGTTCCGATTTCAAAATTTCTAATACAATAACAAGATGCGCGTTACATGACAAACATCGGGCAATTTGCTAAGAAAACCAAGAGTAAAAATCAAAACTCGGGAACTGTACAACAACGCAACCTCTACAGACATGTAATTCAGGTAACATGCTATGCACAGTTTCGATGATATTACCTGATATATATGGTGGCTGACTCGCATAAACGGTGTATGGAGGCGTACTAAAAGCATGTTGCTGAGGTTGGACCTGCTGGGCAGACCTATTTGAGAATTGCTGCTCCATGCATCAAAACTAACCTACGGGTGGAAAACAAATAACTTTCCCTCAATGGTAAAAGAAAGCCCTGAAAAAAAAAATCGAGAATTTATTGTTTGTATTTGCAGCTTACATAAATTCTTGTTAGAAAACCTCTAAATTTGGAGAAGAAACACATCGAAGGCATGAAAAACAGAGAGGAATACAAAAAACTAAGACAAACACTGTTTCACGCAGTACCAATTGAATATAAAAATTTAATTAGTCTTAATTTCTGTAAAAAAGTCAAAAAGAAAAGTCGGGTAGATGCGAGTAAACGTTCCAAAACTGTTCTAATTTTATTATTATATCCTTAACACAAAATCTAGAAGCCTAAGAGTAGCCACAAATGCAGTCCTAAACTTTTACTGTCTGCATAAAACCGTTTTAAACAAAAAATTTTCATGATTTGACGATAAACAGTAATAAGACTTCAAATTTACGACGAAATTGCAAACAACAAAATACGTTTGAAAACTGTTGCAAAATTTATACCATGACTGTTTTATATTAGTCCTATTAAACTAACATAGTTCCAGTTAAACTAATTTCGATAAATCATCTACCTGGAAGAAAAACCGCCAAAATCAGATACAAATTTCAGCACAGATCATTACATGCCTCATAAAAAGTTTAAAAATAAAAAATGAAATTCAAAAACCAAGAAAAAAAAAATCTTTTCTCCTTTTCCAATTTTGATAACCTACTGAGCTTACAAACAACCAACTAAACTTCGATGATCATATTTTTCTCGAATAACTATATCTTAATACAACTGCTTGACGAATCTTCTCTGATAAAAGTTCAGCAGCAGCTACTTACACAGCCAATCGATCTAAATCAATTAATCGCAAACGATTTACGCAGGCCTGCCTCAACAACACTACAAGACTATCTCATCCCTAAAAAACAAAAACTGCCATACCAAGGTTTGAACGGCCAAAATAAGATAACGGAAAAATTTAGATCACAAACGATACTAGAGTAGTAATTCGTGCGGTAAAAGTGAAAAAAAAATTTGTACACAATATAACTAAGTGAAAGCACAACGCTCCAACAATGGACACAAAGAAAAAAATTAGAGAACAAACTAAAGCGTAAAAAAGCTCGAAGCAAACAAGCCAACACGTTTATTTAAAAAATCTTAAATTCAAGGACAAGAAAAAATGCGCCCGCACGCGAAACACAAGGTACAGCAGCGGCATTGACATTCTGCCAACTGGCTTACTGTAGTTACAATCTTCCAAACCACTGCTTGTAACAGCTCTATAGCAGCCTTCAAAACTTCACAAGCCGCACTGATGCAATTTTAATGTGCATTCAGTAGATTGTGAGAGTTGTTGTAGATTCGCTTCCGATTCCTTGTGTCAAACCCAATGAATCATTCAAACGGGTTGGTGATTGGTGGTTACGAAGCTGAATTTTCCGTTCAAGCATTTTTGTATGTATGTACAATTTTGATTTTTTTTTTTTTCTTTCTTTTTTTTGCCCCATCTTTCTTTCGGCTTTATCGATCTTGTTTTCGTTGTTCTTCTTCTAGTTTTTAGGATGTGATATATGCTGTCATTCCACCGCTGCATGTTTGATTATGACTGGCATAATGGGTATTGTATCCTTTATTCTGTGTTGTTCGCAGCAAATTTCCTTCCTTTGTCATTCCGTAACTTCCTATTTGAAAATTCATAGTTATACTCAAGCAGTTTGCCGCAGACCAAAGATGTGCACCAAACACTGTCTGCTGTACGGCTGTAATACTTCGTATTTTTGTCTGACAATAAAAGACAGAAGATCAGTCTGTTCCCGATTGTTGGTGTTGTGTTTTTAAATGACTCCACTGTGGAAGATGAACTTTGTGCATTACCTTAAGCGATAAAAATTAAAGAGGCAACTAAAAAATGAATATCTGTAATGACTGAAAAGGAGGTACAAGCTGCTGGACTGTACCAAAGATTGTTCAATAAAAAATTGTCACTAATTTATCTGCAAGATGAAGACGTTGCTGTTGTAGTCACTTAAAGAAAGTACGGGGACCCATTAGTGTAAGTATGATTAGAAGGAAGCTGAAGTTGTTCATTTCTAACACTTACAATCTCGCGTAAATGATATGACTACGTAAATTCTTTAGAAATTTTTTTGATCTTATCTGCTGTAATGCACGTCGAACAAAATGGTGTTTGAAGGGGTAGTGCCTTTTCCGAATTGTAACAGTATATTACTCGCGAAGACTAAATAATTACAGTAAGACAAATATGCATATTCGTAGCGCTGACGTGAAAGGCAGTAGGGTGCCAGTAATTAATATTCGAGTCTTTCAAAGGATTAATCGGAAATAACTTTTTAAAAAAAAAAAAAATGTGGTGAACAACAATAATTTATTTTATTACCCATGGTCTTGCGGTGCCTTCTAGAATTCTTCTTTTTCTTTTTCTTTTTTTCCTGATTAAACAGTTACCGAATTTTGCAGAACAAAACAGGCAATCATCTCAGTTTTTTCAGGGCCGTAAGCACTGTCAATTTAGTGCTAAACGTTAGGTATTGCAACACCTTTAAAGTGTGCAATTATTTTCAATTGGTATTGTTTTATTTACAAGATACATTCTAAAAAATACATAACAGAGTGAGCGGAGAGAGGAGGAACCAGTGAAGGAATATCAAAAGAAACTGAAAGACGCAAAAAATAGAAAATACTTTGCAATGGGCAATACGCTCAGCAGAAAAACGGAATTCACTTTTCACTTTAGACTTGCAGTCATTTAATACTGTATCGTCCTCAAAAATTTCGAAATCTTTTAAGTTCGTGTTTCATGAGGATAACGCTGCGGTTGATTCTGTGTGGTCTAGACTAATCCGTTGTTTTTTTTCCGACGTCTTAAATAAATTACCAGTTGTTGATGGCTAAAATTCCTGAGGTTAGGAGTAATAATTTGCAAATTGTTTAATTATCAAGAGAATCACAGAATTGTTTGACATTGTCATTAAGATTCAATCCGCATTACCCAATTTTAGTTTTAAAAATTGGAAGCACTGTAAACTATAGACAAAAAACTTGACTTATTAAAAGTTGTCTTCTTACGGCTTCGCGGCAGCTCTCCGCATTTTAAGGGTAATCAAGATATCTAAGAAATGCTGGATTTTTTATTACGTCTGGTGAGTACCGTTTCCGGCAATTTCAATAAATCTTACTTCGGACTGTAGTTTTTCAGTCATGATTGCTTGTTAATAACGAACTTTGAAAGGACAGTTCCACATAGGGGAACCGAAAAAAGTTGAAAAAATTTTGTTGTAGCGATGTATTCCATTATAGGTGAACAGTAAAGAACATATTATTTTAAACTGTTCTAATTACATTTCCTGAAATGATTTTTATGAGCATTCGGACCACTTGACGGTATTCACTAGACTTGTAATCATAAGGACCTCTCATCCTACACGTTTCCTCAACAGCTTTATTTAGTTTGCTGAATAAAGTAACTTAAATAAACACCGAACTGATTAAACTTCTCAATGCTGCAGACTTTTGATTGATAAGTTAACAGACTAACTGTTGCCTAGACTTGCTAGTAGAACGCGGTTGGTACTTTGTTTACTGTAAGCTGTTCAGAAAAAAATTGACAAAAACTTTAAAACTCATTAATAGTTGCAGAATAACGTCACTGGGAAAAAGACATAATTTGGAAAAAAATTGTTGTTGATTATTTAACCATTCACCATTCTCTCAAAAAAGTAAATAAGTTGAAGTATTTTAGACGCTGATGTATAACTAAGCTTTCCTGGGTAACACGCGGCATGTAGTTAAAAGAAAAAACTGAAATCAGTTGATACTTTAGAAAGGTGTTGAGGTATTCAGGAAATGCTCAAGCTAAAATCGCGTTTCGGAAACTAGCCACTTGAACATTGTTTTTTATTTAATGCTTTTACTGGAGTAACGAATGATCAGATGAAAATATTGCCCAGTAGCAATAAAACAAATTCTAGTTTTGCGTAATCTGAACCATACGGCGAGGAAATCAAAAACTGAAGGAACACGGAGTTACGATGGCTGGATGGACACCGCAGGAAGTGAGTATAAGGACGTAGTTAGTTAACAGCTGCAGAACACCATAATTTTCAAGTTTCTCTGTAAAACATATAATTTGGTTTAACCAAAGATATAAGAAGACCTTTGATATGAAACCGAACCCTTTCATGAATTTTTTCCTCTCAGCTGTTTGTTAAACTGTTGCTGACTTAAATAACTACTAGGAGACCCATTTCTGGTTTTCCTTTTTTACTAAGCGCACGCAGAAACTGCAGTTTTTAACAAAATTCTGCAGGAGGCGGTACTTCACACTTACATCTAGTTCATTTCAGATTTTTTTTTGCGAAACAGGTAGTTTATAACATAAGACTAGCTTACTGAGAATTTTCGAGGTGCACCATTTCGATAAATTATTAAATATCCTAGCAGTTCTTCATATTTTAGAGTAGGTGAGACTGGCTCAATTAAATCCTCAGATCAAAACACATCCAAGGGTTTATGAAAAGTGAGCATTTTGAAGTTTGGAAACCTTTCATGTATCCTTACAAAATAACTGAACAACAACTTAATTCTTGGTGCTTGTTATTTTCATATTCATCCATTTCCTTTTCTGAATGCTAACATGATCTGTGACCCATGAATTTCCGAAAGAACAGTGACCTTGCAGCAAGTAATGATATTCCATTTTAGTCTTTGTGGCGTGTTTGCTAACCGCACGGGGACTGTTGCTTATATCCCTTCTACAAATATACAAATTATTGAGAGCGCCATTGAGAAATGTGAAAATTTCACAAAGGTTAGTGGAGATGAGAGACACCTTGATTATTTCTTAACATTTGCAAGAAGTTTCGGCACTTGAAGCGTTCAGTTCTGTTGACGTCAATCCGTTTAGCAACGACTTCCTTCCTAAATGTGTCCGTTCTAGGAATGTTTCGACTCTTGTAAAGAAAACGGATATTTGTAGAGGAACAACTGATTTCTCCTCACTTCCTTCAACTAAACATCAATTGAATTAGCTTTTCAGTCGGTCTAATTGCCGAAAAGTTCTTGTAGATCATCACCAGTATACAAGTGACCCCATCATCAGAAAAGATAGTCAAAAAAGTATTAGAAGAACGTGTAGGCACGGAAAAAAAATAGTGGTAAAGGCAATAAAGTAACAAAAAACCGAAAAGTGCCAAAAAGTGAGTAATAACGGTGCGAAGCAAAATGGATTAGAATGGGAGAAAAAGAGGTCAAAAAGAGAACAAAAATTAAAGAAGAAAAGGAAGAACGAATAGAGTACGCAGAAGAAAGAGGATATGGGAAAAAGAAAGCAGAGAGGAAGGAACGAAGGAGGAATAGTCAGCAAAGAAAAAATCGGAAACGGAGCAAAACAATAAGAAACTGGAGATAGACGAGAAGAGCCAAAATGTTAGAGAAGGGGAAAAAAAGGAGATCAAGAAAAAAGAAAATTAGGATGAGGCTAAAAGACAAAAAAAAAAAACAGAAAAAATAGGAAGAAGCTAAGTAGAAAGTCGAAAAGAAGTGAAAAAGAAAATGGAAAGAAGGATAAAAGTATACGAATAGAACAGGAAAAATTATTAGGTACAATACAACCGAAAATGAAGTGCAGAAAAGAAATGAGGAAGGTAACGGAGGTTGTGGTTTAAAAAGGAAAAAAGAGTAACGAACCTCTGGAAACAGGAAGGAAGAATCAAAAGCAGAAGCAAAGCAACGTAGAAGACGAGAAAAAAAAGGAATTAGAACCAAAAAGGTCCGAGAAAAAGGAATGGAGAAAGTAGGACGAGGCGAACAGTATAAAAAAGTGATGAAAAGTGGAGAAGACAATTACGGGTAAAAGAAGAGCAGGACAAAAATTAGGAGCCGATGAAGGAAATGAAAAAAAAAAAAAATAATAAGAGGATGGTGGCATTTGCAATAGGGGTCGAAAAGCAGGAATTACGGTGGGTCGAGCAAACTGTAAAGATTTGAGAAAACAAAGCGTTTATGCCGTCACTGCTACCGTTACTGCTCTTTCCACTCGATGGAGCCCACAGGGATTCCGTTCTGCTGCGGTTTTCGGTATTATCCCGATTCTCTTACCTATCCCAACCATCACATTCTTTCCGACGTTCTGCAATCAGCTGAAGGCAAAGAGGAAAAAGGAAATTGAGGTATGAATGAAGAAGAAAGCCAAAAACAAAAAGGATAGGTAATTTTACAGAGCGAAAAATAAATATGGAGATGAGGAACGTAATCGTTTTTTTTCCGATGTACCATGCTTTGAAAAACTAGTATGTACTTAGTTCCATTCGTTGTTCTATCATTCAGCTTTCGACAATGAACCCATCACATGCATCACATTTCCTGGCCCAAATGAACCCTACCACATTCTCCACCGAAGTTATGGTTAAAGGACAGTAGCCATACCTAGTAGGCTTTCCTTCCCTACCTGTACCCCATTTATTCGACGTAAAAGCTCAACGTCTTTCTTAACCATCGAAACTCAAGGCACATTTGAATCATTACAGAGAGAGTTTTGACCACTGGTCATAGGTCTCAGTGATGTTAGTTTCCGTAATGTTCAACTGGTTCCTTAAGTAACCTTTGCGCAACAGGAGTTATATGCAGCCAACTCTACTTACAAGGATGAACTCCTGTAACCGCTGATAAACGGCTGACAAAAACTACCAAAATCGGACCCGTCTTGGAAGTTTTTCTGTATATACACAGCTTTTTTCATCCTGACTTTTTTCACACATTCTATGCATCATTGGACTGAAGGTGTTATCACTCGTAGCGAGAAGAATTAAATAACAGTAAGGACTTCAAGGTAATTCTCTAGCTCGGATTAAAGCGGCCTTAACCTGTAAGTATACGAGTGAAAAATGCATGTCACGCAGTACTGACCACCAATGTCGGGCTCTTGATCTTGCTTTTTGCCAGAATACGTCCAGAAATTCCTAGGAGAATGATGCCTCTTACGGTTCTTGTTTGTTTATCATGAAGTTTATTTGAACTGTCAGAGACAGTCCGGCAAATTTATTCTGAAGTACAGTGTTCTTGTCCATTTTGACTATTTTTTAAAATGCATCACATT